CCCTCAGTGCTGGGGCACACCCCTACATGGCTAAATTGTTCTTAACCACTCCCTTCTTTTTACCAACTTAGGTTTCTCCTCCCATGGGAAGACCTCCTGGATGGCTCTCAGTGGCACCCTACAGTTAGACTCTTCAGGTCACACTTAATTGCAGAATCAGATTTGGGCCACTTACAGCTATGATAGGATATGAGCCTTGGTATAACAAGTCTTCAAGTCAGGGGCTAAGTTTCGATTCTCCTGCCCCACCCCCTCCTCTGCAGAGTGCCCAGGCCATGGCAGCCACAGTGTGATGCTCAGGAGCATCTTGTGAGCATCCTACAGGATCACAGCTGCTCTCTTCAATGCTCTCTTTTTTAAGACACGGTCTCAAATAGTCTTGGCTGACCTTGAATTCATGATCCTCCTGCCTCAGCCTCTCAAGTGCTGAGATTGTAGGCCTATGTTCCATATCCAGTTAACATTTCTAGGAGAAGGAAGGTGACCACGAGAAACTGGGATAGTTTATCTATCCTAGTATTAATCACCCCATAAAACTTCTGTTTATTTGGTTGCTGGCGGGCCCTTCTTCCTGGAGGGAGAAAGCTGTTATTCTTGGAGATACCATCCCATGCCTGGGCCAGGGCACCCGCAGGAAAGAGAGTGAGCTACTGAGCTTTGGCACATGGGGAAGTAGCCTGGAAGGCCTGGAGTCAGCCTGCTGGCTGTGACATGGGTACCAGTGTCTGGACTGCAGTGGAAGAAGGTAAGACCCCAGCCTCTGCTGCCTACCTCTTCAGGGATACAGCCCATCTGTCCATGGGCTGGCTTGCACACCTACTGTGTGCATACCCACATGCACAATGGGCCAAGAATCCCAGGATCCTGTGTTCTCAGGACAAAATACAGGCCAGGTAAGATGTAGAGGCTTTTTGTTCACACAGAGGCTAAAGGGGACAAGGAAAGGCCTGGCAGGAAATTCTTAAAGGTCAAAAAATATTTGGAAAATAATCCGCTAGGAAGGGGACAAGGAAAACATAGAACCGCAGGAATCAGGGTGAAAGAGAGGCAACGAAAGATTCAAACGTGCTGGGCACAGTCGCACAGGCCTATAATCCCAGCACGTGGGAGGCTAAGGCCAGATAGAGCATGGTGAGGTCAAGGCCTGGGCTATATAGTGGGCCTGGATCCTAAAGAAATTGAAAAGAGGAAGGGGGAAG